ATCTAGCCGGCCTCTTTCGGAGATAACCAAGAAAGGGCAGCCCACAGAACTGGTCTTCATGAATGGCCGCCTTGGGCTGGAGATCTTGGGGTAGCTGGGTCAAGGAGGCTAAGAAACCTCTCACTCTGAAAAGCTTGTCATGTCTGGCACTGCAAGATGAGCCCTGGTTCTACCAAATGAACCCACGTCTTCGCTGATTTCAAAGGCTTTGGAAAGCTAGCCTGAACAGCTGCATTTAATCGGACAGGTTGCAGCAGCCTTTGTTTAGCATGCATCTCTCTTTTCGGGATGCCTGACCAGCCGGGAGCTTCATGATGAGCCACTGACAGTTCTGCTAGAAAAGACGACAGGAGGTCGAACAAAATGAACCAATGCGACGACAGAGAGAAAGAGAGAGAGAGAGAGAGAGAGAGAGAGAGAGACGTGCACGTATAAGGAGAGATGCATCACATGAACATACAAACTACACAGTACCAAGTTCTGCATTCTGGGCCCGTGAGAGAATCCACACTGGGCCTGCTCGCGTCAGAAAGTGCTGAATGGATACGGCCGGATCCCGGCGGGAGGGAAACGCAAAGAAGTCGGTTGTCATAGCCGTGTCCTGCGTGCTGTGCAAGGAAGAACTACAGTGGCTGGCGGAACATCTTTAACAACGAACAACCAGTTTCGTGCTCAAGTCTGTCAGCCACAGACACAACACGCATGACGACCGCCTCAGACCAACTCGGAACCAAGAAGCCGAGTCCTCGACTCGCCGGCAGCTTATCGCGCTGGCTTTATGCCCCTGTTTCCTTGGCAGTGCGGCCGCTTGCCCTATACACGGGATCGTGGGCCGGGGGCATCTGACACGGCAGTCTACGGCTTTCACGCAAGAGTCGGAGCATCTCTGAAATCTCGGCCACAAAAAGCTCCATCCTCACGATTCAAACATAAGCACGGGAATGCGCTGAGCCCTGGAAATCCCGCCATTTCCCAGCCCTTCATCAACTGAGCCGGTGATGCCCTGAACTATGCCTACAGCCCAATGCTGAGGCTGTGTCCGACCATTAGGTCTGGACAGGCGCGTCTCATAGTACACCCGGTCCCCTCGCAGGCGAGAGCATGTGGAGGCAGAAAGCGAACAAGCAATTTCGAGCCGTCTTTGGCTTTTCCGGGCACTCTATTCTACAGCTCGGAAAAACTGACTGAAGGTTCCTGTCGAAGGCCTAATTGTCGGTTCTATAGGGACACGACGAGTTGGGATGGAGGCTGCCTTCGACCCTGCGGTCGCATAAATCGAGGCTTTTGTCGGAGCTTTCAGTCTTGAGTGCGCTAACCACGAACGCACTCTTGAATGACATCGCTCGTGAACTAGGTCAAAACATGCCCGACGGCCTGCTTGCAAGGATGTATCGCCTCGCAGCACAGAGCCGTGCACGAAAACATCTTCGCCCCCACCTTGGCTTCAACTCAGGACGGGCAGCTTGCGGCTTCTGCTTTCCAGTCTTGGTTGATGATCGTTTTGCTCTGGGACAGTGTTCCGACACTTCCTCATCAGTGCAGACGGCAGCACTTGGACTCCAAATTTCAGGCAGGCCGCCTTCGGGGGCAATGAAGCCAAATCCTCTGTCACTCCATTTGGTGACAAAGCCTGAGTTACGGCAACAAAGGAAAAAGACTGCTTGAAGGGCTTCACGTCCTCTGTGGCTTCGCGTGTAATCTGGATCCGGCATATTTCCGACCATATCATACAGAATCCTCGCAACATGGACCACCGATTCCTGCTGCCAAGAGTCCATTCGGCATTGCGCGGGCGAGGTAGCACTGCTAGGGTCAGCCAACTAACCCCCGATTTTCAAAAGTGGGCTGATTGGTTGTATGCTTGCTGAAGGCTTCGACGGAGAACCCGAAACCATGTGAGCTTGAGACTTACACGCTGGAAGTATCCTGGAGGTGATCATCAGTATGTCAGCTGCTGTCGGCTGCCTTGCTACAATGATGTCGATTCTGCCATTCCCAACCTGTTGAGCTATGGGACCTCTCTGCTGCATGCTCTGCGAGCTCTGCCAAGTCATGTGAGCCGAACGACCCTGTGTGAGCATGGAAGCTTTGGCCGATCAGGACAAGCTGCCCTCTCTATAACATTCCGTAGCTCTGAGGCCAGTGTAGCTAGACAGACAGGTCGTGACCAAGAATGCTAAGATATCTTGCCAGGCATGGAGGCTTTAAGCCCCCTACGCCTGGTTGAAGCCCTCTTCATCCTGCAGCTGGTGGAAGACATGAAGTCCAATTGGGATTTCACACCAGAGCTTTTGCTGTTAGATCACAGGAACTCCGCGACCACAAACGGCCCTTGGTGAGCCGCTCATGCAAGGAAGTGTCACGTGCTGACGCGAAAATGCTACACAAAAGCTCAGTTCGGCAGCTGCGAGAGGCTTGTAATCAAATTAAGCGAGAGGAGATACCAGGAATTAAATCTTGCGCATGCTGCAGTAGAGTCAGTAGTTGAGCAGTCTTCCCGAACATAAGGCTGTTCGTGCTTCATGATCTACCATGTAACTCCGATCGCTGATTCCTATCCACACGAGCTGTAGTCACATGCGTCAACCTGCAGCCTCAACCTCACTCCAGAAGATACTAATATTCAAATTAATACTCATACTAATACTACTCTTACTAATACTAATACTATTACTAATACTAGAACTATTACTAATATTAGGGTTCGTACAGCTCGGTCCTCCACTGCTTTGATGCCGGCCTGGCGGGAAGCTTGGGCAGCTACTAGTTGCAACAACTTTCGGCAGCGGATCTCCCAGTCCATCTTATGTATTACCGTGCTTTGCTTCAAGTCGGCCGACTTGATTGACTCTGAGAAGGTGTCGATGTATATGTATATGTAAAAGTATATTACATATATATACACACATATATATATATATGTATATCATTCGTATATACGTATACGGACATGCAAACACATACATACACACTCACATATGTACATACGAAAGACACACGTGCACATTGCATGCATAATTACATACCTACTACATAACCCTGCATACATACATACATCTGCACATGCATGCATCCATGCAGTACACACTTAACTCGAATAGCAAGCGAAGCATGTGCACCTCACATTCACATCCTTGCGTCCATCCATGCATGGATGCGCAAGCACAAAGTTGTTTTTCGCTGCGTGTACATTGCCCAAGTCGTGCTACATTGTGATACATCACAATACATTTCAGTATATGATCACACTGCTACACGCTACGCTGCATTACATTACCTTTCAACATATTAAAGTGCTCTGCAATACATAGTCTTGCATTACATTGCATTGCATGACATGATATTGAGTGACACACCTCCCCTTTACCTTACATGATGTTACAGTTATGGTAATTACATTACACTACAGTACATAATTACACTATGTTAAGTTACATTACACCACACTACACTACGCTTCACTAGATTGTAGTGCGGCAGTGTAATGTAACTTAACATAATGTAATTATGTATTGCAGTGTAATGTAATTACCACAACTGTCTAGATTGCGTTATGCTAGAATGCAGGACAATGCATGTACATACGTGGCGGCATTTGTTGCTTGCGTGTGAGGTTCAGGTGTGAGTTTGGGCGGGTGATTGGGTGCATGGGTGGGTGGGTGGGTGGGTGAGTGTGCTCTTCGTTGATGCGCCTGTGCATACTTACATGCAGATGTGCATCCATGCCTGCATTAATGCATTAATTCACTTCTCTGCTTATGCTTCTTCACTGCACTCTCGTGCTGAATTTTCGGGCCTGTTTAATACACGGCACTGCAGATGTTCATGCATGGCATCGGGCTTAGATCAGGTGCCCTGGGTGCTTGGAACAAACCAGCCCCGTCCGAGTCTGAGGTCCAGACCATGCTGTAAAGGGCCGAGCTGGAGTCTTTGCGGGCAACTGGGCAGGGATACAGACGAGCTGAAAGCAGTAAGCAAGCCTCGAAAGGAAGTCCATGCACAAGCGCTCCCGGCAAGCTGTCCAACATTTCAGATCCTATGCGAAATGCAGAAAGCATTCGGGCTTGAAACACTTTTTCTTTGCATACAGCCCGAATTTCGCACAATATCGAATGAAGAACATCAGAACACTCAGGCCTGCATGCTCTGACTCCCCTCCCCGGCTCCGTGGAATACTCAGACTTCGACTTCCTCAGGCCCCTCTCACCCGAGGGGCCCCGCTGGACAACGGGAGTGAAGCCAAAGCGAACAAATGGCTGCGAACATCGAATTCTAGAGATCTTCGATGACCTGCGTTTCCACGGCGCCGGACTACCAAAGCAAGAGATCATAAAGCATCGAGCTCGTAAAAGAGTTAAGCTGCATGTTTGCTCCAGAAGAACCTCCGTCTCAGAAACACGAACGTAACCAGCTTTGGCCACAAGCTGTAAGAGAGGGCAGGTAGGCTAGATTAGAACTACTATGGTAATCATTCAGGGACACATGATTGGCATCATGTTGAGGAAAGGAATGAGCCCTGGAGCAACCTTTTTCCGACCAGGCAGCAAAACGACGTCACAGCATAAGTGTGCTTCCTGGGGCGTGCAACGAACCGCCTTCCAGCAATCTCAAAACTCTACAGGATGCAGGGCTTGGCAAAGGAAGGCTGACTGAGCCTGTGTTGGTATTTGGGAAAGATCCCCGGGACTGGAGCTGGAGTCGCTGGAGATGGTGAGTTACAACTTGCTTGCTCACTTCCAACCTCACACTTCAGAACCGTCATCTTCCTGCTGATTGGCTTCGTCATGATGCGTGCTAGTGGAAATGTGAAGCTCGAGGTAAGGCAGGCTTGCGGTCCAGCATGGTGTTGGCTGTCCCTCACCTTCTTCGTCGGTTGTGTGGTGTGAGGCAGGGAATGGCAGGAAACGGAGGAAACCGCATGTTGCCGACGCTTTGGCTGGCACTTCTCGAACATGCATGCTCACGGCTCAAGCGGAGTCGGAAAGCCGGGGCCCTTCATTTTACCTGCCGTGGGGTCGAGGCCGCATCGACAAGCTGTAAAGTATCGCACGGACTCTGCGTCTCCTAAAGCCAAGATCGCCCTGCAGCTGGGGCAGCACCGCGTGCAGAAGGCCTCTGGCTGTGGTCCACGGCTGCACGGTCTGGAGGCCTGGACGTAACCAGCACAGAACGCGGAAGGCGGGGGGGGGGGGGGCGGAGAAAGAGTCCTGCAGTAGCTGACTCTACTACCTATCGGATTTAACATCGAAAGGTTCCATCCTGATCGCTTCATACACTGCTACCATGCAGAAGGATGCAGGACGGCTGTGCGGTGGGAAAGCCAAGAAGTGCAATGATCTGCCACGCCCCGTGGAGCCCTGACTTCAGACCAGTCGTCTACATGACTTGCGCAGCATCATAAGGAAGACCTGAACGATGAACAACAACCTCATGCTTGCTGCCGCCCCTGCCAATCCGACTCCTATTTTACATCAGAGCGGCATCTACGAATGAAGCAACGCTGCACATCTCTGGCAGCGGACACTGGAAGCTACTCTGGGCTGAGGAAAGCGGCCGTGAGCTGCTGGGCCTGTGCTTTGGGGCTATTCCGGCCACCTGCCTCGTAAAGCCCATCTACTGGTCTACAAGTACTGCGATTATCACATAGTTTCTGCGGGCGTCTACGCCTGCGCCGTTCCACCCACGAACGTGAATACACGTCTTTGGCTCGTGGGCGGATCTGCAGCGCTGTACGGCTGTCAGGAGGGTCCACCACCACCGACAGATTACAGCCAGTGGGATTCGGGACATTTAAGCTGCAGGATCAAAAGCTCAGGGGTTCGGGAGCTGAAACTGCTATCCACAAGAGACAGTAGATTGCACGATTGGTATCCTGAGCTACCCGAGCATGCCAGCCTGCTTTACGAAGCTGGCACTGCGGGCTCGTCATGGAAAATACTTCCGGTGGCTATGGAAAACCTTGTGATGGGCAAGCAGCCTTTGCAACTTATCTGTGATGTACAAGTTCTGTGCGGTGTAAGGCATGCGTTCTTGAGGCTTCTACAAGTGCGTGATGGGGTGGGGCTCCGAGAGCAGTTGTACACTTGAGGAGTAAGATATATAGAACCCTTAATGGGAGCTTCCGAAAATAGGGGACCCTAATATAGTAGCCCAAATAATAGGACCCTCATTATAAGGACCCCAAAATAAGGTAACTGTGCAGCAGGCCGACCGGGTCCTCGCGGTTTTGGGCTCTGCGAAGCGGCAGGTATTTCTAGGACTTCTTCTTCATGCCGGTGCGCTTCATGAACTCGAGGAAGAGCGGGTATGGACTTCCTCGCTGGGACTGATTGATCAGAAGCAAGCTTCCCGTTGCTGGTGGCCCATGATGGCAGTTCATTTCCTTAAGAGCTGCATCGAGAAGAGCGACGAAACGCCTGAAGACCCTCTGGTCAAGAAAACGTTCTACGAAACTGCAATACAAGCCAAAACCAGCTCATGCGGCTGAAACCGTAAGGACATGCTTGGTGCGGCGAAAACTGACGCCATGCATGAAAGAACAGAGCTGCAGTCTTCTCGAGTGCATCATGCACCTGAATCAGTGTGCTGCCGAAGTGTTGGCATGAGTGTGCGAGCCGGCTAATCATGCCTCACGCACAGGAAAACGTCATGCCTGCAAGCTCGCGGCAAGCCTCACGATTTGCAGCCCTGAAGCACCGCAAACGTGCCTACCCTACGGTCAGTCCCACCGGTTGCTGTGAAGGCTCTTGAACGGAGCAGGGCTAGCACAAACTCGATTTGGACGTAGTAGCACCGCATCAGGAAAACATCATCGATCTGCTTGTCGAAGCGGTCCTCCCATTTTTCGCAATGCAATTTGTATTGCTACTTCTTGTTGCCTTTTCTCTGCGACCTTTGGGAAGATCTGCTTTTCAACGTAGCTGCTCCCAGCAGCCCGAAAGATGCCCAATTTTGCCAAAGAGCAGGGCAGACGATACTGTCCTAACAACATTTCCTACTGTAGCTATCCAAGAAGAAGCGTAGAGTCCCGAATGCCTGTAGTCGCTCCTACCTTGCTGCTTGCCTTGCCCAGTTTCTAGTTGCAAAGCTGGATTGAAAATGGCAAACCTGCTCTTCGCGCTTTCCAAAAGAGCGCTGAAAGGGTCTTCTGAACACGAAGCAAGCACTGGCAGAAATGGCAATACCGGGTTCCGGATCAAACCCCGGCGGAGACGCAGAAAATTATGTAGCTGGGCCGAAACACATAGGTTCGCTACCTATTTCACCCACGATGTCTTGGAGAAAGTCCTTGATGCCTTTCCATTGTTCTCTCGTCGCCAACCTCTGGAAGCTTGGAGGAGCAGCAACGACAGAAAAGACAGACTTCTTTCTGACCACGAGCACGTACGCATCCCTGTTTTTTGAAGTCGTGCATATCCGCATGTGCAGCTGCATGATTGCACCCCCGAGCTTTTACACGTGAAAGTGCTGCCTGCGATCCCAGGAAGCCGCAAACTGACCGCCCGTAGTACTTGGGAGCGACGGGACGTGTTGTTGGCTTGTCGGTATTGAAGCGAGTGTGTCAAGGTCTCGCACTGGGAAGGTTGCCGAACACAACACCCGAAACAGACGCTCGCTCTGTGACCAGCCAGGCGAAGACTGTTACGACGGTCTAACAAGTGAGAACACCGATTCCCAAACATCTCGGCCAGCTTAAACCCAGTAGAATCTCTGCAGTGTGAGATCACCTTGCCTCGTGCACCACTGCACGTTCGCGCATACCCCCGGCAGGGAGTAGGCCTGTTTGTTCATGAGCAATCATATGCAACCATGACCCCTGTTCCGAAACACTGGCACCGCTTCAGGGCCATTTCATGCTCAAGCATCGAGCACCGATCAAGTCCGTTGGTTATTGCTTGCCTGAGACAGCTTGTAGTCCATGTAGAGGAGGTCTGGGTCCAGGTTTACGCCTGTTACCTCCTTGTACTCGTTGGCGAAGCACTTCACCCTTGCAGGCAGGTGGAAAATAAATGATGTTGAGCGCGAGTGCCGTCTATTTACCAAATTCAACTTCCGACACTTCATGAACCATGAGCAGTTCCCAGGCACAGTTTTTGCTCGTGCTCGTCCATGAAGTCGGGTTCCGCGCCGAGCCAGCTGCCGGCGAGGATGGTCGGGATGGGCATCCCCACCTGCCAGCTTTCTGGGGCATTAAGATGTCTTTTCGTTAAGTAACCATTCCACAAGATGTGATGCGAGCTCACAAAGCTCCACTGAAGTAGGTAGCCACCAAGAGTTCATTCCGTCCGCATCAGAACCAAGTCCAAACACACAAAACCTTTCAAGCGAAGGTTGAACACGCATTGCGAAACAAAGCATGACTTGCAGTGTTCGCCCGCCATCGCGCCACCCCAATCCTCGGACAGGGATGCATTTCGAGCTATGAAACCAGATGCATTTAAAGTTTTGCCCCAAATGTATGGTCGAGGGGCCACTGCTCCGTGGCGTCTCGAGCACTTGCTGTTCCTTTACAACTTTACACCTCTCCCATCACGACTTAAACCTGGAAAGGCGCTTTTCAACAGACAGTAAGTTACGTACCCGCCATGTGCAACTGGCCACAAACACTGAAGCACTTCAGCGCATCCTGGGCACCCTTCAGGCCATCGCGGCGCATTTGCAATGTGAGCTCACCCGGAGCCGAGCTTGCAGATGGCTGTCTATACACTATATACTCTCGACGTAAACCACACACCAACACTGAGGCACTCAAGTTCGCGAATGTTGACATCTATCAAAACCAAATGGTGGTTGGAACGATTGCAGGCACACCATACTTGTAGAGCCACCAACTGACGCAAAGCAGTGTGGCAATCGCGACTGAGACTCTATGAGGCCACACTCCATGATGCCGTTGCCATCTCTCCAGAAAATGGCATTGTCGATCTGCGCGTTGGGATGGGCCAGAGTGTAGTACTCTGGGATCATCTGCCTAAGCCATGCTAGCAGCACCAAGCTCTCGCAGCAAAAAACTACAAAAGTCTCATCCGCAGATAGCCTTCATCGCCAGCTAGCTGAACTTACCCATGTCTAACACCGATGATCCTGACACCCAACCTTCGACGGGCTCGAAAACAATCTGAATGTGAATGTTCCGAGCCGGAGCGTAGCAAAGCAAAGGGGACCGGACCGAGGGTGAAGCGAGGAGCCAGGCTCTCGGCTGTTTTGGCATTTACTTAGCAATCCGAGTTGCATGTAAAAAGCGATCTCCTGCGAGTGTTTGGCAATCTCTTTTGCCTGGCACCAGCCAAAGGATGAAGGGTTGGGTGCAGCAGTGCCTACCGGTTCCTGGAACCCTAAATGGGAGCTTCCGAAAATAGGGGACCCTAATATAGTAACCTAAATACTAGGACCCTTATTAGACACAGCTGCTCTTGAGCTGCTCTTGGCGCCTCATTGAGAGCCCGCTTCAAGGTGGCTTCCTCTACCAGCTTCTTCGGGAAGCAGTGCACCGCAACGTTCCTCCGGGATGCAATGCTCCGTGCTGCAGGCAATGCAGAACTTTTTGGCATTGGGTTTGCGATTATCTACCTGCTCAGCTGCTTCACTTCCTTCTTCTTCCTCCTCATCGGAAACCGATAAACAAGGAAGACCCCATTCGGTCATATCCTTGCTTACATTTAATGCTGTCCCTACTACTCCCACTTTCTGCAACCGGTGAGCTCGAGTTTTCACCATGAAAATATACCAAGATCGTTTTGCTAATGCTGTTTGTACGCCGTTCTCCTGCAACTATCATCGCTCCGTTCCGCAGCTCTTTTTACTACCGGGCTTAAGGACGAGCCTAAACACGGGAGCCCTGCCTGATGAAAGACTCAGCCATGGCTAAGAAGGACTCCGCAGCCGCTGGCGCCAGTCCCAAACCTGGTCCCGACTTACGGGTTCAGAAAACTCGGACCAGGCGAGGCTAGCGAAGGGTCCTCTGCAGGCGTCACCGCGCTCCTTTGCTCTTTTTGTTCTTAGGGTCTCCGCCAAACTCGTTGCCTAGAACGAGCCGCGAGGTGCAGGCGCGGCAAATTAACAGCACACCAAGATTGCAATTGAAAGCTCTCTCGCAATGTGCATCTAGCCATCAAGCTTGGTTCTGCTGGACCTTACGTTGGATCAGGT